AAATCATAAATAAGAAGCTATTTGTTACACTTGCTAGTATATTCAAATGGAATTAAATTAGGCAAACTGCATATATAACAATCTTGTAACTAGAAAGACGCAGTGTTATTTTAATCATTTTAACATGTACATACATGGATTGTTATGCTACACTATTGAATCTTACCAAAAAAGGTGTACTTTAAAATGTTAAGGTGTCCAAAAGTCTTGGAAATGTACTAAGTGAAAGTGCACTGAGCAATTCTAAGCATATAACAGACCGACCCAAGCCCCAAAGTTTGCATCTGTAGATAGATTTATATATATATATATATATATATATATATATATATATATATAAAAAGCACGTCACATCAATATGTACACACATGTATTTTGGTTTCTTTTTTTAAATATTCACCAACAGTTTCCCAAACAGCAGAGATGCACAACCACCTGTCAGCGGGTACCCCACAGGGTATCCAACAAAGTGTTCCTTCGGATTTGGATATGCAATGCAGTTGTATGCCCCATTATGACAACTGGGGTTCCCAGTTAGAAAAGGTTGAGCATCACTGCCATAAAGCACTGTGGCGCAGGCTCACAAAACTATATTCCTGAATGTATCAGAGAAAGGCTTTGAATGGCAGTCAACTTGACAGGACTCATCAAATACCTCCACTGTCAAGCTTTCGGGAATAAAGTGAGAACATAAATGCTGAGAGTACCTGGTCACAAATACAAGATAGCAGCACTAACATGAGGAAATCAGCAATTTATTTACTCTTTTGTAACATATTTTGTGAAGACCCCGCCGAAGACACAGTTTAGTCCAGTGATTGGACAAAAGTAGATAAATAAAAGCAGAGCTTCTACACATCTTTAAAACAGGTTAAAAGCAGCAGTCCATCTAAATATCTGCTAAAAAGCAGACACTTGTTGGAAATGTCTTTGCTCATTAATATATTACATAAAGAAAGGGGAGACTCTCAACATGGAGTTTTGAAATGCTCTTCAAAACCGTAAGAAACCTTCAGAAATTGTTCTGTATATCGAACACCTGGAAGTTTGAGTTCTGACATTTGCTATTAGAAGTTAACTATTTTACCTGTATAGATGGAAATGTCAAACCCTTTAATTTTCAGTTATTCTGAGGATAACACATTCGCAACATTTGGAAGTTTTATTTACCCATCTATATGTACATGTAGCAGACCTGTACCAAAAACACATGGTATAAGGTCATGATATAGGCAAGTCTTCAGTGGCAATCTGCTGGTTGACCCTTCTTTAAACCAGACATGTCTACGGTGTAACACAAAAAGATTCACACAAATCCAAACCTTAAAATTTCTCTCATTTAATGCAGTCAAGCAAGACATTCAGGCTTAATAAAATAGCACAATGTGATTTAACAAGCACACTAACCTACAGCAACCTGTCATCTCAACTAGCATGACTACAGTAAATAAACTGTGGTTGGGTGCCATAAGCTACTGTACTCTATAGTGTCTATAGTCACAAATGTGCCAGAAAAAGCTTTTCTTCAGTGATGTTCTAATGTTATAAATAGAGGCTTTATGCAACAAAAAAGGAGAGAGGTAAGCACTCATACTTTATGGGGGGAGGGTAAAAAAAAAATCTAAGTTTAAATTAAAAGAACATCCCCTACTTTCATCCCAAACCAGTACATATAAGATGGATCCACATTCAGATAATATCCCAAAAGTGTATGCCAGTGTGTTATACTCACACAAATTCTGCACAATATAACTGTGATGTATTTACAACCAAGCACCAACACAATATATCACTACATAGTGACGCATACATGCATAGTCTAAAAACATTATAATTACTTTGTACATTTCACCGCATTTATACAAGACAACATCTGGTGGAAAATATAAATGAGTAATATAGTAGTTGTAAAATCGTATATTGTACACCGAACCCGCAATACCAACACTGTCTATACGGATGTACTGCCAATCATGTGCAATCATTGGGGGCTGCTAAACTACTTGGATTAGATTTCTTTTCTGGTTATCAGTACATGTTATCAACGAACACTGCTGGAAAGCAGAAAGCATTACCCAATTCCAAAGACCCGTTCATCTGAGAAGGAAAGTACATATAGAACATTTTACAGTAACAACCAAACTTTCTACACCATACAGCTTATTTGATGATGAGGAAAGGCACCCATAAACATAACCATTGCCCTATCCCGAAAATTTCAGCAGGATCAGGTGGCTATTTCAATGTTCTTGTGTGTCGTCTAACCTCATCAGACATTCTTGGCTAAACCTCTGGAAAAGAGCCTACAGGCTGCACTGCATAGCTGTTTTTCCCTGATGCCAGGGCTGTCTGCTGGTGCCACACAAGTGTGCTTATCTATAAAGCAACCCCAAAAAACAACGTGGCCGGATCATGCAGATGTGGCTGACTGCTATTCACTATTTCCAACTTAAGATCTCATATTCCATTGGAGCTAGTCTTCTGCAGACACTGTGAAAGACAATTTCAGTATGTCATGTAGCAAAATCAGCTGCTGTTTTAACTTTTTTTTTCTAACAAATTAATGCATTTGGAAACACCAAGCAGTTTAGTGGATAACCTTCAACATTTAGTAGAATTGTTTTTTTATTTTTATGAACTTCAGCTGAAAAATTAAAGAATGAGATGGAATGCACATTGGCCTATTCATTCATGGTCATTCCTTAACGTAGGCAAATCCAACAATAAATGTGCCTGCTAAAATAAGCCTTCTCCTAACAGTGCCATCGCCTAACTTCCTTTCCAATTCTTCAAAACAGAGCAACTAAATAAGATCTTGTTCTGGTCCATTTCTGCCTGATGCCACTGGCAGGTACACTGGATAACTTTGGAAGAAAATTTTAAACATTGACTAAAAAGTGTTCTAGCATGTTCATGCTGTCAGTGGCAACAAGTTGAACATTTTGTTGGTCTACACCAGAATATTGACCGTTGAAAATGACTGGCTACCATGAGCAATGTTTTTAAAACTCTCATTTTTTAAGCAAATGCAGCTGAATACTATAATTATAAATTACATGTTAGAAGACTGACAGCCATCCTACTTCTAAGGCCAACATGCAGACTCCCAAAATCATAAAGACCATAAAAGGGAATCAGCATTTATGGTGCCAAGAAGCTGATCCTGCACTTAAAAACATGAGACAACTCTAAGCTCAGTTACCAAGAACAGGCTCACAACTTTTTGTCTCATTTGTTTCCCAAATAAATGCTATTGCACTTAAAATAAATCATATTGAGAGGTTAAATCATGGAGACCCATGATTAAAACATGTACAACACTGCAAATGAAACATACAACACTGCATTCAGTTTCCGTCATTCCTACTAGGAGGAATACAAAGTCATTTGCCAAATAAGCTAAGACACTGTGCGTTTCATCTGGCTCGAACAATAATGATTAACATACAGAAGAAAAAAAATCCTAAAGCTTATTTCCTTGTCATTCATGAAATGAGACATCTATGAGGAGAGTAAAATACTTCTTAGGCCATATTGGTCACAAACATATAAGTGGTGGAAGCCATTTTTTGACCTGAATAAAACAACTAGGAGAACACATACCAAAAGTGAAAGACAAAAGTGTGTGCAAAATGAATTTCTCTAGGGAAATTATATAAGTTCCAAGCATAAATGACTGAGAAATGGAGGGAAAGGGCTGACTTCAATAACAAATCAACTTCGTGGACTGGATGTGGTGGGTGAGCAAACCTGAGTTATAAAACAACTAAGCAAAGCGGCATTGTTCTTTAGGGGCTACAAACTCTCTCATGAAGGTTCCTTGTAACCATCTTAGTAAAACTTATTTATTAGACCAAGCAGTATGACTAAACTAGCAATAGGTGCTATAATGATTAAACATGACTCCTATGGGCTCCATATATTTAAAAGTGTCTGAGTTGCCCACAGCAATAATTTACAGTTTCCACAGACGTTTCATGTTCTGTTACAAATCCTTTCCAGTGTCAGAGCAAAAAATGTGTTTTGCTTATCACGAAGAGAAATGTGCCTCGCAACGAAATATGACAAAACCAACACTAACAGTACGATAAATTATTTTACAAGAACATACCAGTATACTTATTTATTACAATTGCAAGAAGCATAATGAGAATCAATCCATAGCAACCAAGAAATACTCACTTTGCTGAACTCTGTACAGTACAATATGGATTTTTATTGGTTGCTATTAGCACTGGAACCCAATGCTTCGCTACTTGCACTGGTGTACTGAGTAAGCCTAATAATGTTCCCACTACCTTATGTCCTGGGATTTACCATGCTGGAGCTTAATGACTCGATAAGAACAACCTGGTCATTTGTTCAAATACACCAATCATGTCACTTGTTTATTTTTGAAATAACGTTCTTTGTCTAACAGACATTAAAAAAGGTTTTGACATAAGTGAGGTGTGGAGAGCTTGATGGAAGACGGAGAAGCAGCATAAGTTATCATGAAGGTGGAAGAAACTATAAACTAAAGTTTTTTTTTGATCTACAGTCCTAGTGGAAAGGCAGATTGTACATTCTATACAAGATTTATAAAAAAAAAAATGGGGCTATGGATGAAGTTTGGTTTCAAATTTTCAAAAAGGCACCTCAAGGCTAAAGGCTTTGTTATTTTTTTTGTGTTTTTTTTTTTTTTACAAATCTAGAATCCTTTTACTGGTCAAAATAAAAACAAACACACTTTTATTGCTGCTGTTCAAGTAGCAAAGAAAAACTTTCATGTATTTGAGTCCCATACATAAGAATCTCCCTTATGAAGCCAAGATCCACTGGTCATGTAACAGAAGCAGTACAACTGCAAAATTTTCTTAAGCCTGGAAATAGTTACTTTCTTCCGTGTGCTTTCAAGTCTGTTTAATTGAGAAAGACGTTCTAGGGTTAGGAGAACGTGATGATACTTTGAGCTCCAGCCTCCGGAATACCACTTCTTCAGGTTCTGCAGCTGGCAGCACTTAGGAATAGAATGTTAAGACACTCTGGTGATTTCCACGGACAAGCAGTATGGGTGGGAGATCTTTAGAAAGTGCCTCTATCCAAGCCATGTAAAGTGCACTGGACACCGCGCCTTTTCTTGCAACTGGAAGGCTCCTACAAGAAACCAAAGTTAAACAATTAAAGACCAATACAGTTTTCTTATATTTCTACAACAGTAACTTAGTGTGCAGTGCATATAAGTGGACTATAAACTAGTTATACGAGTTTCTGGTTCAGTGAGGTTCACAGTCTAATGTTCATGTCACAGTAATAACAATGCACACAATCTAAGGTCCTTATTTAAAGAAATATGTTAACATAACTGTTTTTTTTTTGGACTATGTTAAAAAAAAAACAAAAAAAACTTTCCTCTAGGGTATTTTGCGGCACCCAGATGACAGTATCAAATTATGGAATTGGGATCTTCTTTAGCACTGCATACCCATGTCACTCATCCCAGAAGCCTTCAGGGCAATGTAAAAAAACATCAAGCATGCAGCCCACTGCTTCATCAGGAAACAGGTTGCATGAGCAGAGAAGAGTCAGCTTGCTCCCTTTGATGTATGAAAAGGGGTAGATGTCAATGTGTAGCAGCAGATTACAGCAGGATGAAGCACATACTAAAGTTAAAAATAGCAACTTGCTGAAACTCAATTTCTGCCCTATTGCTTAAGTGCGTGTACCTACTTATTCTAAAGCTGCGCTCAAAGGAGAACTATAGCCAAAGCTATTTTCGCTATACTTCTCCTGTAGTTCACTGGAGTGAAGTTATTTCTGCTGCTCTTCCAGTGTCGTTTTAAAATGGCACCTGGGACTCAAATGGTTAAAGATGTGGAAATAATTTCTAGAAAAACATTTAGGGCTCGTTCACACCTGCAAGCTTCACTGATCTCAAGGCTGTTGTTGTGATCTATGAGTAAATAGTGCTGAAGCAGAAATCCCACGCATAGCACATTTACATGACATTTCAATAAATTCTATTCCCGTCCTGGCGTTGCAATGTGGTAGTTTGCATCGCAATCCACTGTGTTAGAAAATAAATGCTGCATGCAGCACATTTTTTTCAGTGCACAACATTGCAACCAAGGGATGTGGGCTGCTTAATGTGCTGGGACTGTAGTGGGCAATACGAACCCCAACTGTTCATTGCTGTGACTGATTTCTAAATGAGTATTTGTCCAGTCTCAGTCATAAAAAGTGATAAATCAACAATAAAATTAACCTTGCTTTGCTGGGAAACTGACTAATATAAGTTAGTCATGCAGCACCAGAATTAGGCTAGCTTCAAACTCTATTCCGGGGTCATTTACCTGGCTAGGACAAAATTCAGATAATAATCTTAAAAAAAAAAAAAAAATTATGTCACTTGTTTGTAGTGAACGGAATAGATGTATTCTGTGAATTGTCAAGCCACCAAATCCCTGCCACCATTAAGCAACAAATGATCTATGAACAATTAAATAGGCTTTGAAAACGACATATTTCCTACTATCTTCTCTAACATCTAACAACACAGTCACCTGCAGCAATGGCTAGAAAAGAATAGTCAAACAAATCTATTTTCACCAAGGTATGTATCAAATGAGGAAGTTTCTTGCAGACATATTGTAAACTTACATGACAATGACGTTGGCTGTGCTTGAGTGCTCCTTCAACAACTCATTTAACCGGATCTGGCGGTGTGTCTAGTGCAGAGCAGAAAAAGGTCAGGAAGAGTAAATATGTAAACATGATAGTTGGTTAGACTAATTATTTTTTTTGTTGTAATTTCTGTTTATTATTTGTAAAACATACAAAAAATACTAACAAATAATAGACAATAGTTGCTAGTGCAAGGCTTGAATTGGTCACGCAGGACCAGCCACTTAATGCTTGACCAACAAGGGAAAAAAAAAAAAAAAGGAAAAGAGCACACAGAAACACCACACAGAAAAAAACAGTTGAACATTAAACCTTCCACCAAACCCCAAGGACCAACTGATACAGTTAGTGGTAGTTTATAGAGGTAACCCCAGAGATAACCTGCAGTATATCATTCCAAAATCCTTGCATCAGTGGGAAATACCAGAAAATATGTCCAAAGTCAGCTGGGAATTGCAAGCATTGCCAAAACTCCACAGAGACCTGAGGGTAAATGTGTGCCAATTTTGCAGGGTTATATTACGCTCTACAGTGAAGGATATAAGTATTTGATCCCCTGCTGATTTTGAATGTTTGCCCACTCACAAAGAAATGATCAGTCTAAAAATCAAATGGTAGGTGTATTGTAACACTGAGAGACAGAATAGCAACAAACAATTCAAAAGAAATGCATGTGACAAATGATGCACTGATTTGCATGTTCATGAAGGAAATAAGTATTTGTTCCCCTTCACAAAACATGACTTAGTACTTGGTGGCAAATCCCTTGTTGGCAATCAGAGATCAGACATTTCCTGTAGTTGGCCACCAGGTTTTCACACATCTCAGGAGGGATTTTGGCCCACTCCTCTTGGCAGATCCTCCTCTCCAAGTCATCAAGGTTTGATGGCTGACGTTTGGCAACCGAACTTTCAGCTCCCTCCACAGATTTTCAATATGGAGTCTGGAGACTGGCTAGGCCACTCCAGGACCTTAATGTGCTTCTTCTTGAGCCACTCCTTTGTTGCCTTGTCCGTGTGTTTTGGGTCATTGTCCTGCTGGAACACGCATCCATGACCCATCTTCAATGCCCTGGCTGAGGGAAGAAGGTTCTCACCCAAGATTTGACGGTACATTGCCCCGTTCATCATCCCTTTGATGCGGTGCAGTTGTCCTGTCCCCTTAGCATAAAAACACCCCCAAAGCAGAATGTTTCCACCACGTTTGACAGGTGGGATGGTGTTCTTGGGGTCATAGGCAGCATTCCTCCTCCTCCAAACACTGCGAATTGAGTTGATGCCAAAGAGCTCGATTTTGGTCTCATCAGACCACAACACTTTCAACCAGTCCTCCTCTGCATCATTCAGATGTTTAGTGGCAAAGTTCAGACGAGCCTGAACATGTGCTTTCTTGAGCAGAGGGACCTTGCGGGCACTGAATGTTTTCAATCCTTGTCGGCGTAGTGTGTTACCAATTGTTTTCTTGGTGACTGTGGTCCCAGCTGCCTGGAGATCATTGAAAAGATCCTCACGTGTAGTTCTGGGATGATTCCTCACAGTTTTCATGATCACTGACACTCCACTAGGTGAGACCTTGCATGGTGCACCAGACCTAGGGAGACTGAAAGTTGTTTTGTGTTTCTTCCATTTGCGAATGATTGCACCAAATGTTGTCACCTTCTCACCAAGTTGCTTGGCGATAGTTTGGTAGCCCAGTCCAGCCTTGTGTAGGTCTACTATCTTGTCCATGACATCTTTGGACAGCTCTTTGGTTTTTGCCATGGTGCAGAGTTTGGAATCTGATTGTTTGATTACTCCTGTGGACAGGTGTCTTTTATACAGATAACAAAATGAGATTAGCAGCACTCCCTTTAAGAGACTGCTTCTAATCTCAGCTTGTTACCTGTATGAAAGACACTTGGTAGACAGAAATCCTGCTGAATGATAGGGGATCAAGTACTTATTTCCCTCATGAACATGCAAATCAGTTCATAATTTGTTAGACGTGCATTTCTTTTGAATTTGTGGTTGCTATTCTGTCTCCGTGTTACAATACACCAACCATTCGATTTTTAGACTGATCATTTCTTTGTGAGTGGGCAAACATTCAAAATCAGCAGGGGATCAAATACATATTTCCTTCACTGTGTGTAAAAAATTAAATTGGATCAGATGATCCCTAGCTGAGACCAAACTGTAAAAGAAAAATCCCAGTCTTCATTATCTAGAACAGGTACATCTTCCACCCATTTTGTCCCACACTTTTGTACTGAAGCCGGAGGAACTGAAAACAACTCCTTACAAAACTCTGATAACGGTTTAGTAAGGGTCATGGGCCTAGTAACGTATTTAAGTGGAGCTAAATTGTGCAATGAATGTGTGAAGCAACTGCACATATTAAAAAAAAAAAAAAAAAAAAAATAAGAAATAGGCAAATTATGCTTGGATTTCAAATCATCAGATGTTAGCTGGGTGCTCCTTCCAGCGATATCACCAAAGGTCTTACTGACTTCGGAAGCCCAAATTATGGGATCCAAAATTGTATCGAATGGAAGAAGTTTGGGGTTTAACCAAAGTGGGGAGGCTGGTGACAGAGAAGAATCAGGTTGAAGAATCGACTGAATACTTTCTCAGACATGGCCAGAAAATGGCCTGCATTGTGGTGGTTAGGGGAAATTGAGCACTCGAGCCTCTATACAGGAGTCTCAAACTTTCATAAGAGCCTCACCAAGAAGCCACCTCTGTGCGAAAACACCCTGACCTGCCAGATAATATCTGTATATAACGGGGAGGGCTAAACCCCCCTGCCCCCATAGTTCTTGAAGTGCCTTAAGGCCTATACATGGTGTAGAGGGACCCCAAATAAATGACCAGAAAAGACCATGGACACGCCTGAAGAAAGAGCGCAAAATCCAAATGGGTGAATTGCGGAGGGAGTAAAGAAAAACTTGAAGGACCTTCATTTTAAGAAGGTGGATTCTCCCAAACAATGACAATGGCAGGTTCTACCATGCTTCGATTTTCCTCTTCAAAAAAAAAAAATCTATCAACGGTAACAAATCGGCGCGAACAGTAATTGGATACCCTGGCTGAAACACTAACCCATTAATATGTAAAGCAAGTTACCCACTGAAGCAGTTCAGTATCATCCGCTACGTTTCTAGTCCCAGGATCCAGCGGTAAAATGGTCGATTTGCCCCAATGCACCTTGAGACCAGAAAAGCCTGTGAAGGTATCCAAGATACTAACACTACTTGTAGGGACTGACCTGGGTCTTTCACAAAAAGTAAAATTTCTCAATAGACCCTACGTTTAGTGCACCAACATCAAGGAAGGAGTGCAGTGCCACGGCCAGAGGCTTAATCATTACAGAAAATAGGAGGAGGCGGCAGAGGACACTCCTGTCGAGTCCCTCTAAGCACAGCAAATAAGGGTAAGATTGAGGTGCCTAATTTAAGGGCCATCTTGGGTTGCTTGTATAGTAGAGAGATCCATATACAAAAATTGGGACAAAAGCCCATCCAGTGTAACACCTGATGCATGTACCCCCAAATCCACAAAATCAAAAGATTTGCCAATATCCAAGGATACTACTGCTCTTGCACCACCGTCATCGTGGGAAATCAGTAAATTGGAGAATAGGCTGCAGAGATTTGTATCTGTGGATTTCCCTGACATAAAGCTCATCGCTGCTTTAAATGTGTTCCAAACTATCGGGACCTCCTGCAAAGAGGGATTAGTTTGCCAAAAGGCACCCATAGGAGTCTTCACCCGTCGTGAGCTGCTCAGTTTGCAGCCATCTCGGAGGCCACCACCATTCATTCCTGCCAGCCCCAGCCGCTACTGCCAGAGTTACCATGGGTGGATGCCAAATAAGAAGCCTCATGAACCAAGTTTAAAAAAGAGGCAGTGGCAAAGGCCTGGTCTATTCTCAAGTCAGTTTTATGGGTTCTCGAAAGGCAGGAAAATATTTTCAAGGATGGATGTTTCCACTGCTAAATTTCTGTAACTTGGGCTGTGGAGGCCCATAAAAGGAACTCAGCAGAAGCCGGCCTAGCCGGATTTGAAATGTCCAACGCACTATCAAGGATGGCATTAAGCCAGAACCAGTGGAAAATGCATGAAGGGGGCCAAAACTACTAAAAGATCATACACTAGTGGCTGCTGAAACGGTGGTGGCGGATATACATATACAATGACCAGTTTTTTCTGGAATATATCCAAAACCAGGGCCACATATCACCCTCCCGGGTCAGAGATCACCTGCTGGATTGAGCAAGGGACGGCCTTACTGTAAAGAATGGCTACTCCCTGTGCTTAGGAGGAGTAGGTGGCATGAAAAACCCTTTGGATCCATGGCTGACGAAGCTGCCATCCAGGTAAGTCTCAGCAGGAGCACCACATGCGACCTGATCACTTTCAAATATTGAAAAGCTGCAGCTTTTGCAATCTTGTAATTTAGACTCCGAACATGCCATGACACCATTTTCAATGAGGTAGCCATGATATACACCAGTTGAAAATATAAACCCCTGTATTCCAAATGTGCACTTTCGGCCAGATAACTATTTGCCATAAAGGAAGGGGAAACATGTATACCCAATATAAGACCAAGTAGAATCCTCCTGGAAAGGAAAGTCTGGAATCTGTAGAAACTAACATTCCCTGCTGTAATATCCAACCTATAAACTAAACTTGGTATACAACCTATATCCATAACCCAAAGTCAAAAATCCAAGGAACGTTACTAGTTCTCCATCAAGTGAAAAAAAGAGAACAAAAAGAAAAAAGTTTCCCACTAATGATGTATTCTTGTATTCCAAGGAGCTCCGTTTGCCTAGACAGAGATCCAAGAAGTCACAAGTCCCATCCATGTCCATAGATGTTGTTTGGACGAATGAGAGTGTCAAAGGAAGCCAGTAACCATATGGCAACAACTGAAATGTTGGGAACCAGAGAGCAATAATGAGACAAGAAATGAAGGCAAGAGACTCCTAGAGGACAGGTGCAGCAACAAGCAGGATCAAATAGTGCCCAGCCATTCATTGGCCTCAAATGGGTTAACGAAGAACTTCATATAAACTTGGTGCTCTATCCGGAGCTTGCTAGGATAAAGCATACTATACTGTAGGCCTCTGATCCATAGGTGTTTGTGGACTTCAGTAAAGGAACTGAGTTTTCTTTGTGTTTCAGCAGAGAAATCAGGGAATCGTGTTATCTTAGCATAACTCGGGTTGTTTGCGAGCCTTTGCCAGCATCCAGTCACGGTTGATAAAGTAGAGAAAATGCACCAAGAATGGCTGAGGTGGAGCACCTGAGGGTTGTTCACTAGTTGGATCACGATGGACTCTCTCCACTAAATAGGTGGGCGATATATCTGACTGATGTAGAAGATCTTTAAAAAACTGCTTAGCAAAGATAGCTGATTGTGCCCCCTCAGCCTTTTCAGGCAGGCCCACCACCTTCAACATTGTTATGACGTTGCCCATTTTCTCCATCTTCAAATTTTTCAGCCATTGCACTCACCTGGGTTTACAGATCAGCAAGCTGCATGGAGTGATACACAGTCCTATCCTCTACCTCAAAGAGACACTCCTCTGTCATCCTGTCTCTGATCTTGTCCAGGCTATGACAGATCAGGGTGTATTCAGTTGCCAGATGATCAATCAACATGAGGGCCGTTTTTCAGCCATCTATGGCCTCCAGAGTAGGCCTGGTAATGGTCTTAGAGGGGGGGTCTCCCCCCCCCCCCCCCCCCCCCCCCCCCCCCCAAGTAGGTGCTGCATCTAAGGGAGCAGCAGGCTGAAATACCACCCAGAGTCACAGCTGGAGCCTCCACGCAAGCTGCCACTTTACCCAGAGAAGGAGAGGAGAACGCTGGACCAGGCAAGAGGAGAACTGGACCAGGCAAGAGGACGGAGACGGCACATGTGACCCAGCAGCGCATTGTTCCCTGGGGCTGAGTAGTCTGAGCCACCGGAGATTTCTTTTTAGCCAACATGACTTTGCACTGATCTCCCCACCCAGCAGATGTCAAGAGAGCTCTGAGAAAAGGTGTAGTGTCAGTGATGGTGCCAAATTTTTGCAAGATGGCAAGGAGCTCCAGGGAGGAGTGTCTTTCCTCGTTCACATCCTAGCCATGCCCCCAGACTAATCACTGCTTTGTGCTGAACATGCAGACAGCAGTTTAGTACACTGTCCTTGTGATGCTGTCCCCTATTCCAAGTGAAACTTTCCATATGGCACTGTTCACTACATCTAAAATGGCAACGTCACTCTGATGCTGTCCCACACCTCCAAATTACACTGTCATGGGGACATTGTTCCCTACTCCAAATTCAGCAGCTTTTAACTAAAGTCACTATACTATAGCATAATATTTACTGACAATTTATTATATAACATACTAATTTTATTTGGCAACTTGTCCTGTTTATCAGTACAGTACACTAAAAATAGATTTCTGGTGCAAAGCATGTTTTCAAAGTCCAGGCTTTTTTAAATTTAACTGCTTCCTGACCAATGTACGCATATGTCATCTTCAGGATGTGGTACTGATATCTGTATGATGGGGTCTAATAGGTTCCGAATCTCTCCAAAAAAAGGACCTGTCACGGCCCATGCCTTCACAAGGGATGTTGTTCATTTGTCATTGATAAAAAAGGGACAGTGTAAAATATAAATAAATAAATAATAAAGGAAATCTTAAAGCGTTCCCCCACCCCACAAATGCGAATGCATATATAGGTCCCGCATGCATATGTAAACAGTGATCGCACTAACATCACAGTGAGAGCACTGGTAGCCTGTTATCGTCTATAGATAATTGAATGTACCATAGTTTATTGCCATTCTACAAGTGTACAATTTGAACACGACATGCTAGGTATAGATTTACTCTCTTCACAACATCATCTTCTATATTTACCAAAAAATTGAATATTATATTGTTTTTTGGTGCACTAAAATTCAAAACATATTTTTTTCTAAACATTTGCGTTTGATAAAAACTGCTGTGCAAATATAATTGAAAAAAATCACTATTTAATTCTCCGGGGCCTCTGCTTAAAAAAAATATATGTTTGGGGTTTCTAAGTACATTTTAGCAAAAAAATTGCTGATTTGTACATGTAACATAGAAATGTCAGAATTGACCTGGGCAGTTGGTGGTTAATTTTGTGTGTGTACATTTTGGCACTTATACCACAAAGAACATTTTTGTACTGAATTATAAAAGTATTTTTAGAAATCTTGAAAAATAAACTACCACTTTAAAAAAATAAATAGAAACATTTGAGTTAGCCTCTAAAACAATGCATTGAAGTCTGTTAAACAAGCGCAGATGCTAAGACATCAGTTTTCAGTGCTAAAAGAACTGACACAGCTACCAAACTGCCAGCAGGTGTGTGCCCAATGGAGAAGGTCTCTAGGATGTACAAGGTATGTCTAAGGTTCCAGTTAAAGTAAACCTGTCACACTACAAAATATACAGTATCTAACATAAGCCCATTGTAGGAACCAAAGGGAGGTACGCACTGGGGGATGCATTGAAACAGATGTCAACTAGTGTGCTTACAACACGTTTTCTTACAGCTCACCTCTTTTATCAATTAGCTACTAATGAAAAGAGTGTCTGTATATGAACTGCTGTTCCTAGCTTTTGTTAACACACAGGGAAATAGAGGCATGGTGCCTGATTAAGATGACATTTCAGATCAGCACAATAGGCATGCTCCTGTACTTTGGCCTCTGACTCTTACACCACTGCATCGTGTCAGAGCTACCCCAAGTAGTGGATGTTCAAAGTAACAAGACATGGCATTATCATATACAAAAGTAAGGAACATAAATAAACCTAGGATTTTAAGACTGGGAAGGTTCTTTAGAAAAATAATAAAACCAGCCAGATGGATGTATGGATAATGCATACCTTTGTTTTGTACAGCTCTAGTTCATTATCTGTTATTCTCCATGGTTCTTCTTCTTTCATTTTGTCAGCTACATCTTGTTCTTTTTCATCTTCGTGTAGTCTAAATGGCTCAATCATCTCCTCAAAGGCTGCAACACTGAAAGTCAAAGGTAAAAACATACACTGTATAAGCAAAAGCCATAAGAAATTATTATTGACCAGTCTGATTTCACAGAAAAGTCATGCTCCACAAGGTCACCTACAACACAAGCTTCTTTGTGAGAGTATAACAAAAGCCACCTCTTTACAATGGTCAATAATTTCACCATCTTGAAATAAAAAAACAAATCATTTTATTTAATTCAATTCAATGTGTTGGCACCCCTGGGAAACAAGATAATTCCCATACAGATTTGTTGTATGAAATGACAAATCCGATTGATGCTTATGAAATTAAACAAGCGGCAGAATAATATTTTAGGGGGATGATGGGCTCAGACACTTGCCAAATCCTGGATTTGCCACAAATGATCCTGACAAAGCAAGGTCTGGCAATAAACACAGCTCATAAACATGACTTGGAACAAGCAACTTAGTAGGTTCCTTACATGTTTTAAGTAATAAATGAAAGGTGTCACTTACAGCTTTGAAGTTGCTTTTCTAAAGTGTATAATTAAAGCTAACAAGATTACAGGATAAATTATGAAGTCCCTTTTAGAAGGTTTCTTTAAAACCTCTTTTGTCTGATCATAAAAGCATGACATGAAATATAGAGTGGATAACTGACGTACAACTAAAATGTTAACTGAAAAAATGACCTCTGCTGCCATGCCCCTTGTTAATAAATATTTCAGCAATCTGCAAAATACTGTGTACCATCTGCTCCTGCAGTGACGTTGTACTCTTGAACATATGTGCCTAATGATATCTTTGCGCAGTGTAAGTTATACAAGCTATCAAAAGAGCCATAAAGAATAATCGTAAACTGATCTCATAAAAACCGTTATTGCAGGCTATACAATTCAAAGATTTTATCTGCTTATTTAAGGTTAGGCTGTCTAAGAATTTTATAGACATTGGAAGCCTTAAGATTGGCATGCATGGCTGACAACGTCAAAGAGGTACAGGAATTATTTTAGAACCAAGTTGCTGCCTATGTGTCAGAGAAATCAGAAGTTATAACAAATGAACACATAAATAGCAAATAATGCCAAGGATGTTTCGTACCCCATTTACCAGTCCTCCGGAGACCTCTGTTTCTGTTTTTTTACAGCTGAGCTATCTCCCCAATGATACACTATGATGTAAGCGCATCACAAGGCTGGCTGCAAGAATCAGGCAGAGACAAGCGACCCCCTGGTAACATAGGAGGATAGTGGCATGGGACCAGGTGTGTAGTGGCAGATCCCTACAAAACACTGTTGATGTGTGTGTGTATATATATATATATATATATATATATATATATATATATATATATACACACGACGAGAGAGAGAGAGAGATTGTGTTTAGAAGCGGGCAGGGGGGTGTGGGTGTTTAGGATTCCTCTTTAAATTCCAAATGAAAAATGGCATTGCACTTTCTGTGCTTTCAGGGTTGTATGCCTGCAGTGTCAAATCTAAGACTTGCCTGTGCCTGCTAACCTTATGAAATTTGGTGATGCCACAGATTTATCCAGCAACAACAATATATAACCATAGCAAGAACTTAAATATTCCCTTTTGTTTCAAACTTGCAGGTTTGCTAAATAAAAAAATGGTAACAACTTAATATTAACCCCTTCACGCCTAAGGGTAAAACTTTGACATGTGTTAGCAAAACATATCACCACAACTACTTTGTGCATCCAGGTGGATTATACCTTTTTTTTTTCAGGATGAATTGGGCTTTCATTTGGTGGTAAATGGTAATGGATATCTCCTGATTTTTTTTTTATTACCAAAGGAAAACTGGCCAAAAATAGTAAAAAACACCCATTTTTTTTAAATTTAGCTGTATATTCTTGCTACTACCATAATCTATCACCAAAGAACTTCTTCTTAAGACTGGATACATCCGCAGGGAGGAAGTTATAAACTACAAAAAAGAAGGGTTTGTGAAAAGGAATTCACAGAAAAGCGGCTACATTATGAACAGAATGTGATACTCAGAAAAATTTCCAAAAATTATGCTTTATTACATATAAATATTTGACATATGGGCAATCGCCCTGGTTTACCTTCACCTCAGTACGAGACAATACACACAGACCTAAAACCATATAAAATAACACCAAGACCGGTCTGGATAGATGTGCTGCAAAGACAATGACCACTAAAGTCTAAAGTCTTTGTAGCACTGGCACATAGGTTAACACTTCCCAAAGGAGGTGTACACAAAAATTTATACCATAGGTATATAGTGTCACATGTAATAAATATAAAGACATGTGTCATGACCATATAGGTTCTATCCCATAGAGGGGAAATTCCCAAAAATTATACCAAAGGTATGCAATCACATGTATACAATGCAGCGAGCACAGTGTGCGTCAAAAGAGAGGCATAACCATAAGCCTATGTTAGGCAGCAAAAGGATATCACAAATGAAATGCAGTACAGTCCCATGCCGGCACATGTGGTTGGGGCCCATTCATCTGTAATATAAGTGACTGATTCTTAGGACTTTTAGATATAAATAATAACGCCCCAGTTGTTGCCTGGATGGAGAAACAGATGCAAGTAGCAGAACACTGCTTCAAGTGATTTCTTCACCACAGCATGTGGACTACACACCACTTTTTGTTGAAAACAAGATAAGGCCCAGCGGCTCCTCCCGCCCGTTGAAATATATGTGGCATGCCTTGTTTCCTATATAAAGCACCATAATGTCCCCATCCACCTGTGCAATGGGTAGTAGGAAAGAAAAGGATATCCTTCATAAGTACTGCCCTTCAAAAGGTACTGCTGTATGGAACCAAGGAACCACCGCTAAATCAGCCGACAACTACCGCGGGTTCCGACCTCTCCATGGCGCCTGTGCCGCCTAAGTATGCCTCATGGCATGTGAAGATGGCTACCTCCTTGTAGGTCAGCGTGCGTTCCACCTAGTGCGCATGACCGGAAGTGACGTATCTGACGTATGACGTCAACGCGTTTCGCCGATGGGCGTATCTCACTCAGCTTCGTCAGGACCAATGGGATTCCTGCGTTTCAACCTTCTATTTATAGTGGATTAAGACCCACCCACATATGCAAAAAATTACATTGCAGTTATCCCCAATGGAAGAAAAGGGGCTAAATACTTAGCAACAACCGCTGGTCAAAGTTAAATTAAAAAAGACAGGCGACTGGAAATATCAAAGGGAGGAAAGACTTGACAATTACAGCAATGCACACAAAAGTAAAAAACAAAAATTATATTCAATTGAAAATTACCACACTTTCACCAGGAGATGGCAGTGTTAATGAAAGGATCTCCAAACCTATTTTATTAGGTCAAAAATACACAAGGACACAGTAAAAATTACCCCTTACCGCAAAACCACCACCAAAGATGGCGATGTTAATTAACAAATCCCTCTATAGGTTATTTTGCCCAGGGTTCCTAAACTTCAAATTAACCACTTATAAGTGTACATTTATTCTCAAAGGAGAGGAAAATAGTTCAAAGATTAGTCCCTTCTACACTTCTAGACCTATATTTCAATGTGTACCATCAGGTTATTAGATATCTCCCCAAAGAAGGTAATCTTAATTATTTAATTAACATATTGTCCTTAATAATTGAATTAACGCATTAACCAGCCATTGACAGGAGTGAGGAATTACCACAGATTGACCAACATATGGCAATATAAGAACATATATCCATACAGATCTATTTATCCAAAAATACTTGGAGATCACATTCCACATTTAACCCCTTTGGGTACAATGTATCAAGTTTATATATCCAATATTTCTCCTTTTTTTAGCAGTTCTCTATCAAAATCACCTCTCCTTTGAGGGAAATGCAATGCATAGAAACCTTTCACTTTTGTACCATCCAATTTACCTCCATGATATTTAGCATAGTGTTGGGCAAGATTACTTTCAGGGTCATTAGATCTAATATCTCTGAAATGTTCACCTATTCGTACCTTAAGTTGTCTTTTGGTCTTACCAATATACATCTTTTTACAGGGACAAGTCAAAATGTATAATACTCTCACTGTAGAACAATTTATAAGGCTTTGAATTTTATAATGAGTGCTATTCCTTGAGTCAAAAAAAGAGTCTGTACGATCCACATATTTACAGATTTGGCATTTTCCACATTTAAACATCCCTTTAGTACGTGATTTTAACCATGTTGTCTGTTTTAAACGGTTGATAGTCAGAATGAATAAGGAGGTCACCAAGATTTGGTGCTCTTCTTGCTACCATTTGGGGGGGCGCTCACCTACAATTTTATTCAATTTGGGACATTGAGTTAAAATCTTCCAATGTTTTTCTAATATTTGTTTTACAGCTTGCCATTGGGCTCCAAATTGAGTTATCATTCTAACAGGTTGCTCACTTAATTTGACCTTCTCCTCCTTTTTAGGAGATAATAAATCCTTACGGTCAGTTTGATATGCCCGTCTCCGAGCTTTTCTGATTTGAGAGTGAGAGTATCCCCGTTCCCTAAATCTTCTATAAAGATCCTGTGCTTCCATCCTAAAGTCATGAATATTCGAACAATTTTCTCCGACATCTCAGAAATTGTCCCACTGGAATTCCTGAAATCAGTGAACGTGGGTGATAGCTTCTGGCCTCTAGTAGAGTATTGGCAGCAGTAGGCAGCAGCATGCCAAATCTGTAAATATGTGGATCGTACAGACTCTTTTTTTGACTCAAGGAATAGCACTCATTATAAAATTCAAAGCCTTATAAATTGTTCTACAGTGAGAGTATTATACATTTTGACTTGTCCCTGTAAAAAGATGTATATTGGTAAGACCAAAAGACAACTTAAGGTACGAATAGGTGAACATTTCAGAGATATTAGATCTAATGACCCTGAAAGTAATCTTGCCCAACACTATGCTAAATATCATGGAGGTAAATTGGATGGTACAAAAGTGAAAGGTTTCTATGCATTGCATTTCCCTCAAAGGAGAGGTGATTTTGATAGAGAACTGCTAAAAAAGGAGAAATATTGGATATATAAACTTGATACATTGTACCCAAAGGGGTTAAATGTGGAATGTGATCTCCAAGTATTTTTGGATAAATAGATCTGTATGGATATATGTTCTTATATTGCCATATGTTGGTCAATCTGTGGTAATTCCTCACTCCTGTCAATGGCTGGTTAATGCGTTAATTCAATTATTAAGGACAATATGTTAATTAAATAATTAAGATTACCTTCTTTGGGGAGATATCTAATAACCTGATGGTACACATTGAAATATAGGTCTAGAAGTGTAGAAGGGACTAATCTTTGAACTATTTTCCTCTCCTTTGAGAATAAATGTACACTTATAAGTGGTTAATTTGAAGTTTAGGAACCCTGGGCAAAATAACCTATAGAGGGATTTGTTAATTAACATCGCCATCTTGTGGTGGTTTTGCGGTAATTTTTACTGTGTCCTTGTGTATTTTTGACCTAATAAATAGGTTTGGAGATCCTTTCATTAACACTGCCATCTCCTGGTGAAAGTGTGGTAATTTTCAATTGAATATAATTTTTGTTTTTTACTTTTGTGTGCATTGCTGTAATTGTCAAGTCTTTCCTCCCTTTGATATTTCCAGTCGCCTGTCTTTTTAATTTAACTATGACCAGCGGTTGTGCTAAGTATTTAGCCCCTTTTCTTCCATTGGGGATAACTGCAATGTAATTTTTTGCATATGTGGGTGGGTCTTAATCCACTATAAATAGAAGGTTGAAACGCAGGAATCCCATTGGTCCTGACGAAGCTGAGTGAGATACGCCCATCGGCGAAACGCGTTGACGTCATACGTCAGATACGTCACTTCCGGTCATGCGCACTAGGTGGAACGCACGCTGACCTACAAGGAGGTAGCCATCTTCACATGCCATGAGGCATACTTAGGCGGCACAGGCGCCATGGAGAGGTCGGAACCCGCGGTATGTCGGCTGATGTTAGCGGTGGTTCCTTGGTTCCATACAGCAGTACCTTTTGAAGGGCAGTACTTATGAAGGATATCCTTTTCTTTCCTACTACCCATTGCACAGGTGGATGGGGACATTATGGTGCTTTATATAGGAAACAAGGCATGCCACATATATTTCAACGGGCGGAGGAGCCGCTGGGCCTGATCTTGTTTTCAACAAAAAGTGGTGTGTAGTCCACATGCTGTGGTGAAGAAATCACTTGAAGCAGTGTTCTGCTACTTGCATCTGTTTCTCCATCCAGGCAACAACTGGGGCGTTATTTATATCTAAAAGTCCTAAGAATCAGTCACTTATATTACAGATGAATGGGCCCCAACCACATGTGCCGGCATGGGACTGTACTGCATTTCATTTGTGATATCCTTTTGCTGCCTAACATAGGCTTATGGTTATGCCTCTCTTTTGATGCACACTGTGCTCGCTGCATTGTATACATGTGATATTGCATACCTTTGGTATAATTTTTTGGGGAATTCCCCTCTATGGGATAGAACCTATATGGTCATGACACATGTCTTTATATTTATTACATGTGACACTATATACCTATGGTATAATTTTTGTGTACACCTCCTTTGGGAAGTGTTAACCTATGTGCCAGTGCTACAAAGACTTTAGACTTTAGTGGTCATTGTCTTTGCAGCACATCTATCCAGACCGGTCTTGGTGTTATTTTATATGGTTTTAGGTCTGTGTGTATTGTCTCGTACTGAGGTGAAGGTAAACCAGGGCGATTGCCCATATGTCAAATATTTATATGTAATAAAGCATAATTTTTGGAAATTTTTCTGAGTATCACATTCTGTTCATAATGTAGCCGCTTTTCTGTGAATTCCTTTTCACAAACCCTTCTTTTTTGTATGCCTCTTTGGGCTACTGAATGGAAGCCATATATTGGGTGATACAGTAATTTATTTTGTAACCTCCAAAAAAAACTATCTTTAGGAAGTTATAACTACCCTGGAGTGCTTGTATTGCTAGTTTAAACAGAGAGAGGGTAATTGTATGAAATCCTACTATGGTGTGGAACCACTAAATTGAGCACGGATTGTGTAATTGCTGTGGATTTATTTTCACGAGTGAAGACACAGATTGTGCATTTATAAATTGAAGTATTTAGTGTGGTAGTTATGTTTATTTAGTGTCACAGAGTGTTGTGTGTTTTGATTCACTATATATATATATATATATATATATATATATATTTAAAAAGGTTTTTTTTTTTTTTCCTCTCACGAGTGGTGTGCATGTATTCAATATATTTGTTTTGAATAAGGGTAATGCACTATATGCAGTTTTTCTAATTTTTTTATTTAGGTATCCGGGATTTTCTCACGATTTGGAAGATTGAAAAACAGTAGTTGTGGAAACTTTGGACTATATTTGTTGTGGACATTTTGGACTTATTTTGGTTATTTACAGGAAGATTAACATTGTATACAGGTTTTGTAGAAAAGGTTTTATGTTTTGCACTTTCAAGGGTGACAGTTTAACTTTTCATAGGGGGATTACAGTTTGAGTATTATTTACAATTTCAGATGATTGCTGTTTACTAATGATCAGATTATCATACAATCGCTCTGAAAGCCGCAATTTTCATACGATTTTCTAATTGTCTGTACAGGGCTTTAGAGCTTTGGAGAAAGACAAGTATACCATACAGAAAGCGGTGCTCTGTTCAGATTTCATGACTGAGGTTTACAACCACTGTAAGTAAGAAGCTGACCATTACACCAGGTACTTTTCCACTCTAGGCCCAACTATATGCGTCATCGCCATGGACAGAGCGAAGTGCATTATGGATTCTCAGAAATACAGCAAAAGTAAGCAGGCAGAATCAGCAACATTCCAGCAGTATAAAAGAAAATTGATAACGCTATCATTGTGCTTTGCATAGAATTTAAAAAATATTATAGCTTAATTAAATGAAAACAAATTGGTCTTTTGATTACAACAGGTGTAATTACCTATGAAGATGACAGCTGCCAGAAGCTTAGTTACTGCAATGCAAAAATATGCTTCACTTTCAACAATAAATCCTTTATTTTTTTGAAATGCAAGAAAACATTTAACAGCTGGTTGTTGGGTCATGTATTTTACAAGCTGATGACAATATGGTATACCAGGCAGCAACTTGTAGAACTATGATAAAATAATTGAAATACAGTAACCCCACCCATATCATGTCACAGCAAAATATAGCATGCTACAATAGGTTTCTAAATGGTTTATATGTTTAAATTCTGCCTCTACCCACACTATCATTGTAATATTGGTTACAAACTAGTAGCAGCAAATTATCAAAATGGTGCATCTCCACAAATAAGTAGCTGAACCTTCTATATATGTGAGCTGGGCTTACTTATGAAACCAACTTGAGTGAGGAAAAGTTACAGGGGATTCTTAACACTAGTTTTTTTGCTTGTTTCTGATAATGTTTGCTTAGTTGACCACTGTCTCAACACTTCGCGTTAATCCAGAATACCTTTCTTTGCTGGAAAGCCATGTAGTGCTTCTGCAGTTGTGTGATATGGCAGAAGAAGAGCAAGAGCGAGAGAGAGGGGAAGATGGAGGGAGAAAGACAGGGGAGAGAATGAAGGAGAGAAAGACAGGGGAGAGAATGAAGGAGAGAAAGAGGGGAGAGAAGAAAAGGGAAGGGGAGAGAGTGATAGAGAGGAGATAGAGGGGGAAGGGGAGGGGGGGGTTAGAGTGAGAGAAGAAGAGGGAGACCCATCCACGTCTGATCAATGAAGGAACGGAAGCACACAAATCAGATCACCCCATCAGATTTAGGTAGTTGTTGTTAATATTGGCACTTATACAAAGTGACACTATTACTGCACCAAGTTAAAAAAAAAAAAAAAAGTACACTCAGTGCATAAGTAACAAAACCGGAGGGAATTAAGGCCAACTATAAGTTGACAGACTGTCTGTCTCAGTATGCTGTGTAGCAGGCAACATGTCCCTCTTCCCCCCCACCTGTCACTGGTTGTTAAAAACACTGTCCGTTTCACAGCCAGTGATGCGAACGACACTAGTTCCCCATCAGGTCCACTCTCTACTTGTGACTGCCAGCTGACAGATTTTATAGCCAATAACAGGCTGTCTATTGGCTATGGATCTGTTCACTGCCTACTGACATTCCTAAAGGGAAAGGACTTGATCTGGTACTAGTGTCTTTGAACTACCATCAGACTTCACCCATCCTATTTCAAAAATCCTAGGCTTTTGCGCTGTCTGTGTAACTGCTGCAGCGGTAGGGAGAGAGCTCAGCTGCACTGAGCGCAGAGTTAACTATGGACACTTCAGTTTCTGTGCACCTCCGCGTGTGGTGCATGCCGAAGTTAATGTACTAATTTCCAACATTTGTTGGCCGGAGGCAAGATGTAATTCTAAAGAATGTCAGACTTATAAATTCCCCTAACTGTGCTACAAGAGCAGCCTAAATATTATCTCCTAAAAAGTGTACAAGACAATTAAATATTTGATCAGGTTTCAAAATGATGAAATGTTGTCCGTTAGCTAAACTACATCAGTTTGAAGTGGGGACATTAGTTAACAGAAGAAAAAAAAAAATAAGACAAGAAAAAAGAAACAAAAACAAGTAGATTATCACATTGCAGTTATGTATATAAAAAAGAAGATAGAACATACGTTTCTTTCTTTGGCTTTGTGTTGATATCACCAAGGACCATGATATCAGAGAAGTCAATTCTGAACTTGCTAAGCAACGTTGCCATCCTGAAAACACACCAATATCAGAATTAAGCAAAAACCATGACAATGACACAAACCTTCAGATGACTCCAAGAATTTATACATTTCTATAAAGCTCATCTAAATCCATACTGTTGCATACACAATATTGACAGATTTATTCAAGTCATATGTAAATCCCCATATGCACTGAGAATAACTACACAAATGCATACGCAGGTTCTCCCTGTGGCTGCATGGGTTTCCTCCGGGGACTCTGGTTTCCTCCTACACTCCAAAGACAAGCTGGTAGGTTAATTGGATCCTGTCTAAATTGTCCCTAGTACATTTATGTATGAATGTAGGTTAGGGACTTTTGATTGTACGCTCCTTGAGGGTTAGGGACTGATGTGAATATAAAAATATATGTAAAGCACTGGGTAAACTGATGGCACTATATAAGTACCTGTAATAAATAATATGCAGAGAACAGCTATTAGATGTAAGAAGAAAAACTGTGCTGATTTTAAAATAACATAAAGCAAAAATATAACATGATAGAGCTATAGCTTTAAAAGAACACCTTAAAATTTTTTCCATGTAAATACAATATACCTTGTCATTTTATCCAATTGTACAGTATGTAACAAGAAAAAAAATACATGCTGCCCTTTGGGTGTCAGTTTCATGATACAAATTATTTGCCCTATTGTTGATTAGGTCATAATTTAGTCATCTTCCCTTTCATCAAAAGATCTTTTGGTGATAAAAGGATTTTTTCTTTTTTGCTTTAAGCTCTTAGTAAGACACCGCTTTGAACAGCAGCTTTTCCCACACTTTTCAAACAAGAATAACAATTTAATGGTTCATAAATACTGGCAGTGGTAACAGACAAATTGGATTACATTAGTCCAGCTTAAATTTAGCTTCTAAGAAGTCTATTCCTTAGGACAGAGCCATACGTTTCATATTTGTTTAACCTACTGTGATTAAAAATTTCCTGCAATAGTTTGCAAAATCCACCACAATCACGCACACCATGTCAGGGACCTCAGGCTCCCGCTCAACCTTGCTATGCAGCAGTAGAAATACATGAATAATCGTATACACCTATGCAACATTGTGAACACAAGAAATGTGTATTTGATACAGCACAGCAGGAAGAATTGGGGACCACTGTCACATAGGTAGTGAAGGATTGTAGTTAATTCCAGAACTGACATACAGTACAGACATACATATTATTAGAACATTTTTTTTAAATCTCGGCAATCAAACAAAATCATCCCTTGCAGTGGAGCCCCCAGCATTGCAAGGGTTAATTGCTCATTAAGCATAGGGACATCGGAAGAAGCTCTATTGCTTACCATATAATTTGTTCTGGCAGGCTTCAGCACTGTTCTCTTCTCCCTGACAGCATCCTCACATGCAATGCATTGTACATGAAGAGGAACATTTGTGACCACAGCTTACAAAAACGTTTTCATGAGGCAGTTTGCCTAAATGGAGGAAGCCTGCAGCAGCGAGGAGTAAGTATAGTATTACTCCTCATTTCTGAACCCCTAAACTTAACAAATAAGTAACCGATGCAGTGCGGGGGGCCCTCCTGCAAGGGGAAATTTTGCCTAACTCCCAGCTTGGGCTTTAATCGCTACCTCAATTCTGCAATGTGGTGAGCTTGAAAAGGCAAACCTGGTATATTAAAAAGCAAAGCTTCCTGACATTTCAAATGTTTACACATGACCAAGTGACAGCCATTACCACTGCTAACCAGAAAATTCTTGAGCCTCTGAGCCTCTTTGATTCTGGTTTCAATTATCTCTACGCAGGGCTTGTCCCCATTTACTATGACCTCATTTAACAGACTAAACAGGTCAGAGTGGGGCATTAAAAAAGGTTTTTGCCCAAAAATATAACAGAGCAAGCCCCTTGCAGCATCTGCTTTCACAGTAGTGTTAATTTTTTAATTAACACCTGTTTGCTGTAAATATTAAAGAACGTGCAATAATTTACAACGGTTGATCAAAGTTCCTTCTCCACTCAACAGAAATCTAGTTGCTATGGGCAATAGATATGGTAGTTTTATCGCTTACAGCACATATCAAGGCAAAAAAGGAAAAATTATATTGTACATCCCTACAACACATGCACACCTTCACCATGTTTTATCCTTTTAAACACTCTGCAAGTACAGAAAAATAATACATTGATGTGCCAGAGATATAGTGAGCTCCTAGCTTTTCCTGACATTACAACAATGTGTATTTTTGGCTCTGAAGTCCAAAGTACGTGTTTTCAGCCCTGCACATTTTATTTCTGATGCATTATACAGAACACAGACCTCTCATTTCCACCCCTCCTCATCTCCATAATCCCAACTTGTGCAGGAGCAGAGAGCACAGGAAGGCAAAATGTACAGGCATTGTCTGCACTTATAAAACAGACATAAAACACTTTCAATTATATATTTAGAAGATGAAAGGGAGCAAATAAGAGAGACTCTTGGTTAAGTTTACATTCACTAGTATACACGTTAGACAACTAACAGGGTGTATGGAGAAATCCCCCTGCCAGGAACTTTTGACAGCGGTACCTCCAGAGAGAACATTTACCATTAACAGCTTAAAGCGGAGTTCCACTCACCCTGTCAAAAAATAAAAGTCAGCAGGTAGAAAAACTGTAGCTGCTGACTTTTAAAAAACAGACACTTACCTGTCCCTCGGTCCCGTGGTGTGTCCCCTGCAGCCCTTTTCACCAGCCGTCCTGTATTCCAGGAGGCCGGCATCTTCATTGTAGGCACCCGGCTGTGACAGCTTGCGGCTTCACAGCCGGGTACCCACTGCACATGCGCGTCATGAATGGTCCTGTAGTCTTCTGGGATCTGTCACACGTCCAAAAGACTACAGGGAGGGAGGGAGGACACCGGCGATTGGACCGAAAGTGGGAGCAGGTACCTGTCAAATTCAGGTACCTCTCCCCCCCCCCCCCTCCCAAAAAAGGTGCCAATTCTTAATGGGGAGAAGTCCTTAAAGCGGAACTTCCCCTTTTGGGTGGAGCTCCGCTTTAAACAACCAATCTCTGTTATGTGGAGGAACCCACACATCCAATCAAAAATTCATCCAGTCCATGCAGGCCTGGGCAAATCTCAATAAGTGTACGGCCGGCTTTAGGTAGTAAATGTTGATAGAAAACTGAAGCTTCCTTCCAAAAGACTGGAAGGTGTTAGATAATCAAAATGACTTTTTGCCACTGTTATCATACAGTGTCATTTAAAGAAAACATTGCAGCAAATCAATGGCAATGAAACAATAAGAAGATAATAATAAACATGACTGTGTGGCAATCAAAGATGGCATATATATTAGCACTATAAAGCCAAATAAACTAGAACTTGAAAGAGATAGAAAGAAAAACAAAAGAACACATACGCTCTGCGGTCGTGGTCTATCCTGTTTATTTTTCCACCTATAAAAACTCGGATCTTGCAATCACTCCACTTCTTTTTTGTAGTCAACAGATAAGGTATCAGCAATGTAAGGCCTAAGCAAAATAAGAAGGTTGGTTGGGATGTCATTAAAGAAAAACAAATGGAACATATGTAAACATGTGATCTCAACATGGACAGCAGCTGGTGCTTTTTAGTCAACCCCAACATATACGCGCAATATCTGGTATAATGTTCATGACATCCCTCTAGCCACTCTTCTAACCAAAACAGTCTCCTACAATCAATAAGCAGCACAGATTTGCACCCCTCAGAAAAAGTTCAGCATCAATCAACTGCAAAACACAGCTGAATCTTTCCTCAGGGAGTAACAATGGGAACGAGGTCAAACCGTGCATCAGATGAAACTGAATAGGACTCAAACAGTGAACAGGAACAGTGATCTGATCAGCTGGAGCATCTCTGAACATTTGTTCTCAAGCCAAGCTCTACAGAACCTGCTGTGTATTACTGCCGGAGAGAGTGGTCCAAGCTCACCAGCTGCTTCAGCACTGTTTTCAATGGCAAGCAATTTCTGAAAGTGCTACATGCACATCCCATTATAAAACTGCCCCCCTGCCTACAGGACACTTCCTGAGTTATCATGGCCATTAGCCATATTAAATTTGATACTATTACAAGTTAAGAAGAACACAAGTTCAGCAAATAAAATGAGTGTTGGCGAAAAATAAAATAGAACAGGATGGCAAATCCTTATAAATTATTGAGGCCCCTCCCTTGTAAGATAAAGAAAAAAAAAAAAAAGTCAGGGTGTTGCACACAGAAGGTTTTTTATAACCTTAATACAGAGAATGCATTAAGGTAAAAGAACCTTCTACCTTTACAACCATTTAAATGAGGTTGTGTAGCAAAACAGGATAAAGCTGGCCAAACACCAAGTGATTTTTGGCTGATGAACCGTCCAAAAATTCTCTCAATGGTTGGCCCTGCTCCATTTGATAAAAGTCAAGTGGTTTGATCAACACTTGTCAAAAGAGCTTGCTGGAAAGATTATGCCTGAATAGTGGCTGTATACAACCAGATGCATCTTCTCAGCACAAACGTGTATATTAGGCCAAAGGAAAATGGTGCACTTTTAGCTCCCAAGCTTATACAGAACAATTGCTTGGCTAAGAAATTATCAGCCTGCTATTTCATGTGTATGGATAACAATAGTCTTGTTCAAGAAATCAGTAATTACCATACACCTTTCCGAGAAAGGGAAACCCTCAAAACAAGCTCTGCTGTAGGTACCTGAGGTCAGATTTAAAAAAAAAAAAAAAAAAACAACCAATGTAGTAGCTCATCATTTGAATTATTACAAGACTCATCCACCTTACCAACGATTCAGTGTCTGCTACCCCTCTCTACAAAGCCATCCACAACTTGGCCCCCAGCTACATCACTAACCTAGGCACAAAATAGCAACTAAATTGCTCTCTTCATTCCTCCCAAGACCTCCTGCTCTAGTTCCCTTGTCACCTCCTACCATGTACATCTTCAGGACTTCTCCCAAGCCTCTATCATCCTATGGAATTCCCTACCCCAAACTGTCCAACTATCTCCTAATCTGTCCACTTTTAGGTGATCCCTGAAAACTTTTCTCTTCAGAGAAGCCTATCTTGCCTCCACCTAACAACTGTACATGTATTTTCTCCATCAGCTCATCCCCCACAGCTATTACCTTTAGTATCACTTGACCCTCCCCGTTTAGATTGTAAGCTCTAACAAGCAGGGCCCTATGATTCCGTCTGTATTGAACTGTATTGTAACTGTACGGTTTGCTCTCAGTTTAACGCGCTGTACAAACTGTTGGTGCTATATAAATACTGTTTATTATTAATAATAATATTAATACAAAAATCTTTAACATAATATGCATATTATAAAATGCATTGGATCTGTGACCTTAGTGAATTGAAGGTGGTCTCCAAAAAAAGCAAGTAATATATTTTATTCTTATTATACATCTTATTTGACCCTTCATATAGCTACCTCCATCGTCAAAGAGCCACCACACATCAATGGTACTTTTGCCTTGTTTTCTCTGGAACTGTAAGCTGGCGTCCAGAAGTCTCTGGTCTGCAGAATTCAGTGCTACACCTTGTCCTTTGGAGTCTGCAAAGAAAACATACAAAGATAAAACAACATACACCGCAACATTTTTTTTTTTCTTTTTTAACCACAAAAGAAGAAAAAAGAAGGAAGTAGTAAGTGAACTGTCTGTCTCGTAACACAGCCAAGATTACTTCTCTTTTTTTCTTCTACAGCAAAATGGGTCTCCTTGATCCAATCCTCCAGTCACAACTTTAATACCCAAGCACGCTGAGGTGACATAACAGTTCATGTACTTGCCCTGCATTGAAGTATTTTACAGATAAATGGCGCAGCACCTAAATTTCAACCAACAATAATGTCTTTATGATCAGTTTTTTCTCTTACGCCATTACAAATAATGCTCATCAGCACCTGATGCTGAGACAGCTGGTTGACCTTACAACCTAAGAGTAACAAAACATGGATCACTATCAAAGGATTAGTATCTCCAAATCTTTACACCTTGGGCCTCCCTCCCCTTAATATGCCACCTCGACTTCTGTCCAATTTTTGCTTTCAGTGGAGGAAAGGTAGGTCAAATTATCGGTGAAGTACACACATTTTTCTGAAAGCACTCGTAGAGGGTGTCCTTTAATAATAATCAGAAGCATAGATTGTTCTATTGGAAGGGATGAGATACAATGAACTGGAGCACTGCCTTTGTGTAAAGACTGAAAAAAGACCCTAGGTACCCTGGTATTTTTTTTTTTTACTTCTGATTTGTTAAATCCTGAAAGACTAGCAAATCTAATCTCAATAGTAATGGGCTTGTCAGTAAAATCTATAACACAGAGGGCCTGCTTAACTCATTTTATCTATAATCATACATGCAATCATCCTAAAATAACCTACACTAAAAGATTCCATGCTCCAGTTTCAACTCATTGTTCAAGCAAAGCATAAATTTAAAAATCTGATTCAGCCTGTTCACAGACATACAATAGGAGAGAGCCTCAAAAAGTAGAATATATTAAATACTGAAAAAAAAAAAAAAAAAAAAATGGGGAAAAAAAAATCTTAACCTGCAAAAAAAGTCAGGTTTTTTTGCCTCATTACCGACTACAAATGTATCTTTTTTTCCAAAAGTCTTGGTCATCTGTCCAGGTGTCACTTCTATCCTACAGTGAAATGTGTGTCATGGTCAAGAAAAGAAAACTCACAGAAAACACTTAAACATACAAAAAGGATACAGGAAATAAAGAAAAGATTAAGACTAAGAAGGGATGTAACTAAAACAAAAGTGATAATGCCTGCCTTTTTTCAAAAGAGGTTGTGTAGGTGTTTTTTTCCATCGTCTTCATCATCTGGATATTATTTAAAAAGAAAAATGAAAATAAATGTTATTTGTGCTTAGCTATGTTAACACAGGCAAAAAAGAAGGGTAACCTTAAACTCTTAGGCTCAGTTCACACTTTTCCGTCGTCAAGCAGTTTTAACACACTTTTTATGTGCGTTAACATACTTTTCATGCATTCTCTGCTACTTTTTTTAGGTTCTGTTAACCAATCATATAGTAAATACAGCTGAGGTTGTTATGATTGTGGGTGGTTACCATGTGCTAGAAACACGTTTTCATGTGCTGCCATTGCCATTAGGGCTTAGAACATACACTAATGCAATAAAAAATGGATCTGCGCTTTTTGGTCAACACAGGGTACATATGTAAACTAGCACCATTAAATACAATTGCAAAGTTGTGCACGTTCATTGACACATAACATCTAACATGTGGTAAACCGTAAAGGTATGAACAGGGCCTTAGTCCACCACACGTGGTTATTTCAGTTTTGGTACAGGATAGTTATGTGTATTACTCTTTGGTTTCTTTCAGACTTTGACAATTGAGATATCTGAACTTGAGTTTCCACAATGGATACCTGTTTCAGCTCTTATAAAAGGGGTTTCCCTCGGCCTCACTATGTATGAAAAGAAATACAATGGAAAAAAAAAAATTATGTGCCCTCTGCTGCAGAAGCAATTATAAACCAAAAGGGGCAGGGATGGTTACATCACACAAAAAAGGGGTAAATACCATTTGTTTACAAAGTTTGGAGACCCCTGGCCTAAATCAAAGGGCCAGTTTACTGTCCTTCAGACTTTGAGGGGATTGGACTGTGGCCAGTGAGAGTAGAAAATGCTCTGGTATCAATGGGAGTAAACAATGCCCCATCATTGGCATTATTGGGAGAAATAGTGTCCCATTGTTGGTATGAAGGGGAGGAAAAGTCCTTGTTGTCAGTGGAAGGAATAGTGCCCCACTGTTGGTGTCAGTGGAAGGAATAGTGCCTAGCATCAGTGGGAGGAATAGTGATCCAAGGGCTTAATAAAGGCAAGCAAAGAGCTGCATCCAGTCCCTGGACCACAGTCGGGAGACCACTGATTTAGGCCATGCAGTGTGTGTGTAGGTTTTGTTTTGTAAGAAGTTCTGTTCACAAACTCCAAACAGATAGGTTCTCTGAACTCTAAAGTTAGTGGAGAATGGTAATACAAGATATACCATTTCCTTCCATAAAGCACTCACTCTAAACTTTAGCACATGCGAATATATTTCATTCAACCCCATGTGTACACCTGTGATTAGTAAAGACAGGCAGGGAAACTGTAGACAGTAAAAAAATTACTCCACAACATGAAAACATTTTAAATGGTAAAACTAAACATATACTGTAAGACATACAGTTATACAGATAAATATACTTAGATTTTATTTTGGATAATTATTTGCAAACAATCAAGCAAAAAAAGATAAAATTTGGAATTAAGCTTATACTACAGGTTATCCATAACAAAGAGTAAGAGTTTTAAAATTGTCATCCACCCAACAGTGCTGCGCAGAAGCCACCATAAAGGTGGCAGTGCAAACCATCACCGGGAAGCTCTTTCTGCTTTTGGACAAGGCCCACTAATGACACTATCAATATAATCCAGTAATCAGGGTGACCTTATCTGCTGCTGCTTTGTTGTTTAACCACCTCCCGCCCACCATATAGTAATATGACGGATGCAAGGTGGTTCTCTCGTTCTGGGAGGACGTCATATGACGTCCTCCCATTCTAACCACGCATGCGCGGCTCCCGGAGCGCACAGCGATCGGCGGTGCGCTGTGTCCCTCAGACACAGCGGATCACCGATCCACGGAAAGAGCCGAAGATGTCGGCTCAGTCATGTGATCAGCTGTGTCCAATCACAGCTGATCACATGCAAACAGGGAAATGCCAGTTATCGGCATTTCTCTCCTCTCGAGCTGTCACGCTGACAGCTCGAGAGGAGAGCCGGTAATCGGCATTCCGCGGAGGGGACATGTACACCGATCATCAGAGCACTGATGATCAGTGTGCCCAGATGATCAGTGTAGCCCCAGTAGTGCCACCTGTCAGTGTCCATCAGTGCCAGCTGTCAGTGCTCATCAGTGCCAGTGCCCATCAGTGCCACATCTCAGTGCCCATCACTGCCACATATCAGTGCCCATCTGAACTGCCTTTCAGTGTCACCCATCAATGCCAATCAGTGCCACCTATCAGTGCCGCCTATCAGTGCCAGTCAGTGCTGCCTATCAGTGCCAGTCAGTGCCGCCTATCAGTGCCGCCAGTGATACCTGTCAATGCCCATCAGTGCCACCTACCAGTGCCTCCTTATCAGTGCCCATCAGTGCAGCCTATCAGTGCCCATCCCTGCAGCCTCATTAGCGCACATCAGTGAAGGAGAAAAATCACTTATTTACAAAATTGTAAATTGTTTTTTTTTTTCAAATTTTTCAGTGGTTTTTGGTTTAAGAGAAAATAAAAAAACCAAGAGTTGATTAAATACCACCAAAATAAAGCTCTGTCACAAAAAAATGATAAAAATTTCATATGGGTACAGTGACCGCGCAATTGTCATTCAAAGTGCAACAGCGCTGAAAGCTGGAAATTGGCCTGGGCAGGAAGGGGGTATAAGTGCCCTGTAGGCTTGTGGTTAATATCTTTAGATTCATTAACACTGCACAGAGCTCTAAGTACCAAACTTTTGGTGCTGAGGTTTACTGTCCCGCCGGATGCAAAAATTACTGTGGGTTGCTCAGCATCCCTATTATTTTCAAAATCAAAAAGGTGCTCTATGATTGGTGATGAACATCACAGTATTCCCTTCTCCAATCAAAGTGCAGCCTGTGTGCATTGAAAAGAATGCAACACATTTTGTGAATGGCGTGGTTGACAGGTGACCAACAGTGACCTCAGTACTATCGACGTAACTTACTGAATTGTGCAGGGGTAATGGAAGTAAAAGATTTAAATGTTGAAGCGGCACACATGTGACAGACTGTATTGGGGATTTTTTTTTAAATTGCAAATGTATTAAAATAGGGCTTGCATGGAGTTCAGCTTGAAAGAGAGGTGCACCCTCCACCGCTATGGCAGTCACTTTTTTCAGGCAACAAAAAGCCAATTTTTTATAAATTACTCCCCAAGTGGGTGCGAAGCTAATAAGCATTGCAACCTCGGGGGCCCTAAAAGACTGGAATTAGCACTTGTGGAAGCAGGAGGTTTAGTCTCAGAGTGGTGTGCACTGCATCAGCAAGGGTAGAAAAAGTCTCTTAAAGGACAAGTTCACCTTTTGTAACATGGTACACCTATATTCACAATGTTACAGATGCACTGGCCTCTGCTCCCTTCCAATGCCCTGTTTTGACAGATACCAGGGGATCTTCTCCCCCGCCTGGCTGCATCATTCATTCATCACAGTATTCTGTGAATGGGAAAACTACAAGTATGGATAGCTCTAGGCTTCTCTGAGCTTCCTGTCACTGTGTAACTGCCTGTCTGTATCGGAGGTATGGGCAGACAGCTACACAGACAGTCTGAGGGACCTGCTAATCATGGGTACAATGCATTAATAAAAAAAAAAATAATAATAAATTCATTTTTTTTACCAGCAAAAAAAAATGTGTGTTTATTATTGGGTATACAACAATCAGGCTCTGCAGAAGAAGGTGCTCATGTGGCCTCTGTAGTCAGCAAATAGCATGGTGACCCATAAAGTTCT